GTTACTAGTAACTAAAAAATAAGTACTAGTTCTATTTTTCCTTAACAAGAAGAGTATAATTAAATACTAGTCACTATTGGAATAAGTACTAGTATCTAATGATAAAGTACTAGTATCTAATGAATAAGTACTAGTAACATTACAAAAGACACTAGTACCTAAAGAATAAACACTAGTACCTAAAGAATAAGCACTAGTAGCTAAAGAATAAGCACTAGTACCTAATGAATAAGTACTAGTACTTAATGGAAACGATACTAGTATCTAAAAAGTAGATACTAGTACCATGAAAATAGATACTAGTACGGTTTACAAATTAAATGTTAAAACGGCTTGCCATAATGCAGGCGAAACCGTCCGAGACTTCACCGAGGTCAAAACCTTCCAAATATGCACCGAAGGAACTCCCAATGCCAAAAACATATTCGCATGCGCTTTCTGAAATCTACAGGTAGGACAGTGCCAGTGGAAACATATGGTGGATCAGGTCTTAATCCAAGCATCAGCAGTAAACTGTGTAGTTACTAGTTGCCATAGAAAATCCGTTAGAGCTTGTTTTGTTCACTCAAATAATTATTTTTTGATCACTGACACTTTCCTATTTTTTGTGTGACAGTCAAAAGGCATTTACAGTATTTACACCAAACCCAAAGAAAAGACAAGATATTCAGCAAAGTAGGTATACTGTGCTGCAGCATCACACACTGATCTTTCTTTCTTCTCACGAAATGGGTGATTCTTCAATTAGGGGAAACTTAAGATTCTAACCAATTATTTTAAAGAAAATGTTTTAAATTAAAGATTTAATTGCATCTCTCCTAAATTGTCTCCTCAACTACTATTTAAATGTAAGTGTTAAAATGTAGTAAATTTTAATTTACACTTTTCCTAAAAATGAAAAAAAACCTTTGAAAAAAAGTTGGTATTTAAGTTTACAATTATTTAATTTTTTTAAATAGCAAATAATCATTCATCACACCATTTTAGAGAACAATTTCTGTAAAAAGTTGTCAATGGAAGTGACAAGAGCACAGTATATATTAGTCTATATCACTGAATGCATTTTAAATGTCTGTACATTTGTAAATATGTGATATTTTCAGTTGTTACATTTAAAAGGAAGTTAGAAAGTAAGCAGTCTATGCTCACTGACTGAATGCTTTGCTGTTTAACAGAGGCAGAAGCAGAACTGGCAGCTCTGGAGGATCTGCGCTTGAGTCGGGCCGTGGGTTACATTTCCATATCTCCTAGTACTGTGGGTAAGTCATTCAACCAACCATGTCAGAAAACAAATATGAGAAGTCTACTGATGAGTCTGTTTGATAGGATTCAAATAAAAATATATTGTGTTATGACCACTAGGGGGAGTTAAAGTTCCTTTTATACATGAATATCTGGATAGGTCTGGGACAACCGTAAAAGCAATGAGTGTAGAAACTGATCAGTACTTTACATTATGATCCCTGGGTCACCACATTAGATCAACTGTTTCTACATGTGTTCTTCAAATAGAATACCTCAATATTTTCAGAATAAGTCTGGTTTTACCATGTCTGCTACTTTCCCAGGTGGGTGCTTAACTCTGGAGGAGGTCAGGGCAAAACAACAACAAGAAATGCAAATCAAGAGAAGACAAAAGCAGGTAAGACCAAAATGATAACCAGTGAACCAAAACTTCTCCATATATAATAAGCACAGTGATCTGATGAATGTCTTTTTCCCTTTCAGGTAAAAAATGTGGTTTAGAAACTTCTTAAGTTGTGCAAAAATAACGGTTAAAATACTGCCAACAACAGATGAACATTATATTGCGATCTAGTTTGCTTTTTAATTTTAAAAGTGCAGCTAATCTCCATGGACTTTCTAATGTGACCTTATGTTCTAAATCTATATTCATTCTATATTCAAGAATTTGTGACATGCATGACTTGATGTGAAATGCAAATACTCATCAATAGACAGTATACTGACAAACAGGTTGTATATTAAAATTAAAGAATAATTTACAGTATATAATGACCGTGTGTTTGTTATATTTAGTGCACACAAACAGTGTATTTTTCTTTCTTATAAAATTGTAAGTGTGAAGCACTTACAATTGTGAAGCATGGTGTAGCAATTCAGCTTAATTTGGTCTATTATTTCATGCAAACAGTTCTCCTGGTAATCTGTTTTTCCTCTGTTTCTTAGCAACAAGGATTTTTCTCTCTTTGTTTTGTCCTCTGTGTATATTCAGAGCTGTCTGCTTTGAAGGTTCCAAAAATATGAACCAGGGTCCTGTTGGTTCAAGAGGAGAGTAACAACATAATGAAAGGTAGATAGGTGGGGGCAAATAAATGAATAAAATAAATGATTAAATTGGGCATTATGGAGCTGTACTCTTCTCAAATTAAAAGAATAGTTCACTCAATGAACATTTGCTGAAAATCTACTCACCCTCAGGCCATAAGATGTAGATGAGTTTGTTTTTTCATCGGAGCAGATTTGGAGAAATTTAGCATTACATCACTTTCAGATGAAATGAACTGAACAGAACTCTAAACTCTATCTGCCATATGCCTTGTGCTTTATATATATATATTTACATTTGACCTTATTTGTATATTTGTATAGTTGTAATTTGTATTTAATCTGTATTTATGTTATCTGTATGCACCCAAGGGTCTGAGAATAACGCAATTTCAATTCTCTGTGTGTATGTTCTGTACATGTGGAAGAATTGACAATAAAGCAGACTTGAACTTGAACTTGAACTTGAACTTTCTCGCCAATGCATTAGTGAATGGGTGCCATCAGAATGAGAGTCCAAACAGCTGATAAAAACATCACAAATAATCCACATGACTCCAATCCATCAGTTAACGTCTTGTGAAGTGAAAAGCTGCATGCTTGTAATAAACAAATTATTCATTAATGCGTTTTAACTTTTATCGCTTCTGGACAAAATACCAGACCATAATCCATAATAACACTTCATCCAATGAAAGAGGATTCATAGGTGAGCAAATGATGTAATGCTGAATTTCTCCAAATCGGTTCCAATGAAGAAACAAACCCATCTAAATCTCGAATAGCTTGAGGGTGAGTAAATTTGAGCAAATTTTCATTTTAGGTGAACTATTCCTCTAATCTAGTGAGTCTCAGTCCCTTCATCTGTCATCAGTTGCAGCACAATACCGTTTTTCACCTATACTCACTCTGAGGATAGAGTAAGCACTGTTCAGCTATGTTGTTTATAGAACACATTTAATAACTTGTGTTTGCACTGCACGTAATTCACTAAACTTGACTGCATTGCTTTCAGGTTCACAAAGTTGAATCACTTGTTTTGCCTCCAGGTCTGCCACTTGACCTATTGCTTTTCAAACCTTTGCAACTTTACAATTAACTTTGAAAATAGCAGAGAAACTGTTGCGGTTTATTACCATGCATTGAAACACTCTTAAAATGGTTCTTCTGAGAGTCTGGAAGTAATGAAAAGTAAAAGCCAAAGGCCCCAAAAGGACATTAAATTAGTCTCAGACTGAACAAAAAACAAACACAAAATAGCTTCGCACAAACATGCACAGTGGAAAACCAGTGTTACAGATATTTTCAAATGGCCTTTAAATACCCTTAAATTGTATTTTTGTTTAAATAACAATGATTTAGTTAAGGAATATAATTTTATGATGCTCACATTCTTTCTTTCTAACACATAGTTGTACAAAAGTCTAACTATGAGGGTGTTTCCTCTGAATTGAGTAATCCAGGCATAGGTCAGGGTGTGAACAACATGTTAGCAGCTAAACTATAGAAATGCAAAGCTTGACACAAATGAAAGTCAAATTAGAGCCATTTGCCTTATGCTAATTTCCACATGGAAAAGGACACAAAGAAGAAAGACAATGCAAATGGCTGTCTGAAGGTGTCATTACACAAAATGTAAACAGAAAGTAAAGAAATATTCATGCTCAAATACAATATATTGCGTGATTATGAGGCCACTACCTCCATTAACACACAACCATCTTGTATCAAAAATAAAGATTAACCTATATATTTTATATATAATATAAAAAAAAAACAGAGATTTGGTATCAAGTTGCAAATACTCTTAAAGACAATGTTGAAGGTAAATTAAAAGCTATGAATGTTTACAGTTACTTAATACCAGCTGACAGGATTGAACTAAATATATATAGCCTAGATAATATGATTAATAATGGTACTACAGTATGTGGATATGACTGAATTAAAAAATATATACTGTATATATATTAGCAATCTAGAAAATTATTAAGAATCAGTGTAAAAAATATATCACACAATGAGTCTAGGGCTAGTTATCAGATGGGAAAGCTATTCTAATTCAGTTCAAAACTGTCTTAAAACTGTCTTCCAAACTAAAATTTCAGTAGCATAATATTTCTACTATATTCTTGGGTACACATTCAAGCAAAAGTACTTTGCAAATTATACCTACAATGTATTAATCACTACTTCTGTTAGTCAAAACAATTATATGACTTTTTATGATTACATTATTGGCTGAAACACTGATAATAGCTATAATGTGACAACTTGTTTTTTTTTTTGTTGGTTTTTTTATAAACCCACTCTGTAAAATACTCCATAAAGTAAATGAAAATGTGGGACTATTATCCATGGTCACCTACTGGTGTTTTCTTCATTTTAAAATGACTTAATATCATAATTGCATAATATTTTGCGCAATTAACCTGTGTTTATTAAGCAACAAGATAACCAAGAGAAAATCAGTTTTACAAATGTCTGCACACAGACACACCTTTACCATGGTTCACAATAATTCGTGCATGTTTACCGCACGTAAACCCTAGATAGCCAGACAGACGTCCTACTCTTTGTTACGGTTGCTATGGCTATGTCGGTAGAAGCGACCGAATGGCAATCAGTGATTGGACAGTTAAAGTCATTCATTGAGCTTCCCCAATCGGTGATTAGCTTAAGGGCGGGACTAATAGGCATGCGGGTAACGCCCCCAGATCGCGAGACAGACTTCCTCCGCTAATCTCGCCGTCTAGCCGTGGCACCCGTCGGGTGACGTAGGTTGTTGGGTTGTGGATTGACGTTGTATGAAGTCCGCACGCACCAGTGTTATCGTGTCAGCGCGACGGGCGCTCGGTCGACTCTGAACTCCGAGGCGGAATCCCGTGATATAAAAATACAATTATTTCACGCGCTTTCCTTATCTTCTCGTCAAAACAACGTTAAATGATACTTCAGATTTAAAGGTAAGCTTGAATACACGTTGTTTTTTCGGTTTACATTTTCTATAACGAAAGCACGTATTTTCAATATTTAATCTATGATTATTCATATATATATATTCCGTTCCTCATGATATGATTGGTTTCCGTGCCTTTACATTAAACGCCTTCTTTAGCGTATTAAATCTTAAAGGATTATTTTCGACTGTTTTTGTTGAATTTTACATGCGATATTTTCTAAGATTACTCATACATATGACATTTGGTAATCGACAGCAATCGGCTACGGTTATAGTTTATTTCCTTCAAGTGTTGTTAGAAAAAAAATACAATGTAGCCTATGTTTTTTCATCATCGCTTTGATCATATTTCATACCTAAAGTAGAACCTAAATATTTCTATCACCACTAAATCTAAAGAACCCGACAATTTTTTTTCCCGCAATGAAATCTTCTCGAGGGGTGCCTTCACAGTTTGTTGTGAAATGTGAAAGTGTCATAGGTGTGGGAACATATGGGGGTAGTCCCGCAGAGGTCTCTGGCACGAGTGAATGTCATTACCAAGGCAGAGGGGGGAGGGGCGGAGCTCTAAGACCGGTCAGAGGGGAGTGGCTTTGTGAAGAGGGCGGGGCCTCTCGCTGTGAGAGGGGGTGTAAAGTCTATTATATGCAGTCACAACACATTACAGATATGATTAATTTGTGAGATGATTGCACTATCACTGACGAAAGACATAACCGTTCTAAATAACGAGACTAATACTATTAACCCTTCCTGGAAACGAGTATAGACTCTTTATAATTATTTAAAAGATAGATGAATGAATCGAATTTCCCAGAAATGGAAATGTCCATGTCAGAGTTACTTTAATATCATTGAGATACTATTATACTTTCTATTCATATTTTACATTTAATGCTTTAATTTAAATTTTAGTTAAGGTTTTAGCAATTTTGTTGTGTGTTTTTGTAATCTTTTTTAATATATGTTATTAATGCATTTTTGTTATATATATTTTTTTTATTATATTTTTTATGTTATTTTATATAGTTATTTTACTTCATCAGGAAATATTTTAATAGTTGCTTTGACAACTAGCTGAAATATAAAGTTTATTATATTTTATTTTATTTCAGTTAATGTTTATTTTATTTCAATTAGTTTTTTATGGTTTTAATTTTAGTTTCAGTTTTAGTTAACTAAATCCTGGTTGAATGTCTGTATAGTTTTTTTTATTAATTCTTATTTCAGTTTAGTATTATGAATTTTAGTACATCAAGTTAAACTAAATGAAAATGAGAAATGCTGCCTTAAAATTCTGAAAAACAATGTTTTTATATATATTTTGTTTTATTTAAGTTAAAGGGGTCCTGTTATGCTCTTTTACAAAGTCTTGATTTTGTTTTGGGGGTGTACTAGAACAGGCTCTCATACTAGGTTGTTCGAAAAACACATTATTTTTCACATATTTTACATTATTACAACTCCTCTCTCCTCAGTCTGGCATGAACGACTCGAATAGTTCCTGTATCAAATGAAGGCCCGCCTTCTGAAATACGAAATGTGCTGTGATTGGTTAACTGGGCCAGTGTGTGTTGTGATTGGCACCACTCAGCGCCTGGTCGGGAAATGCCATACCCCTTACCATAGCCGCCTGCGAGCTTCAGTGTAAATATTGCGTCAAAATCGAATCAATTTGAGCGCGATTTAAACCCGGATGATTGTAACCACAATCAAAGTTCGTCTGCCTTGGGAAAGCTAGCGTGTCTCCGACATAGTGATAACATTCGTTGCCTTCTCTAGTGCAGCTCAACCAGGTCTCGTCCCATTCGTCGGTATTTGTGATATCACAAATCCCGGAAAATATGCGTTGTAGTCCAAACGAGTCGTTCATTGTAGTTTTTGAAAAAGTGATTTCTGTTAAATAAAATATCTCCTTTTGAAATGGACTTTGAGCTTTGTAACTTTGCAGATCTTTTTTATGCTTAAACAGCAACATTACAGACTAACTAAAGTTGAAAAAGTGAAAACGTATAATAGGACCCCTTTAACATTTATTTTATTTAAGTTATGAAAATGTTTTAATGGTCTTAGTTTTAGTTAATATAATAACCGTGGTTCAGTTTATGTCATGTTATGTCTTTTAAAAAATATATATATAAAAAATATAAAAATATCAAAGTAATGAATTATATTAGATTTTTTATTTGTACTTTTTATTTAAAACCTTTATTATTATTATTATTATTATTATTATTATTATTATTAATCTCTGATGCTTGTTTTGACTTTTCAGCCATCTGGGAAGACTTACTATGATCCACATATAAAAAGCACTACATTCCTGACACTTCCTCTGTGTATCTTCTGGCCCCTGAAGACAACTTGGCGATATCCATAAACAACATTATGGCGACTATTAAGATCAAGTGCCAAGACCTCCCCAAGGAACAGGCACTTCTAAAAGTGCCATTAAAGAGGTTGATGCGAGACAAAGCTGTAGACGGCACACCCATAAAGAAACGTGTGATGGCTGCTCTCAATTTATCCTGCAAAAAAATCCCAGAAACCTCTCTTGACTATCAGGTCTCAAAGGCAACAAACAAAATGGATGCCAATCCGGATCTGAGCCCTGGTTTGAAGCACACTCTAGAGCAGTTCTCTCTGAGCAGCCAGTGTTCCCTCGGTGGCCCAGCTGCATTCACTGGTCATCATGGTCAGTTTAAGATGGCGCCCCCTCTGGCTCAGGGAGGTATGGCAGGGGGACCTGTACTAGTCCCTCCTGACAGCTCAACAGACCTTGGCCTCTGCTGTCTGGAGGGCGAATCCATCTCCTGCTTCTCTGTGGGAGGCGAACTGCGTCTTTGTCTGCCCCAGCTGCTCAACACCGTCCTGCGGGACTTCTCGTTGCAACAGATCAACTCTGTGTGCGACCAGCTGTATTTGTACTGTTCCCGCTGTGATGCCACACAGTTACACATCCTCAAAGTGCTGGGCATCCTTCCTCCAGGGACTCCGTCCTGCGGCCTCATCACGCTGACCGATGCCCAGCGTCTCTGCAACACACTGCTGCATCCAGGCGAGGAACCCTCTCGTGATTCACACAAAGGGCATGGTGATAGAGAGGAGGAAGAGAAAGATGGTGAGGAATCTGGAGGATTTTGGGTGGAACACCAATGTCTGGGCAAGTGTCAAGGCCTGTTTGTACCTCAGCTTTACTCCAGGCCGGATGCACACTGTATCCGTTGTTCCCAATGTCAGATGCTCTTCTGCCCGGAGCGCTTTGTCATGCACTCCCACCGACAGCCAGACAAACGCACATGTCACTGGGGCTTCGATTCAGCCAAGTGGGCCTGCTATCTCCAACTGGCACAAAGACACCTGGGAACAGCGGATGAAAAGATGCTAAAGAAATCTCTGGAGGATATGAAGATGAAGTTCCAGGAAGAGAAGAGGCAGCCGCATGTAGTGAGTATCTCTTATTTGTAATCTATAGTAATTCAGAAATTAAGCAGTTAATGTATTGTTGTAGTATAGCAAAATATGAACAAAGATGGGGAAATAAATATTAGTGGCACCATTTGCATTTATCAGATATTATAAATGAATGTTGTTTTAAAGTTTGCTCTCTTGAACCTTTACGGTGAATCAAAAGTTTTTTATCATAAAAAGCATCTTTTTTTAGCACCTTTAAGATTTTTGCATTTTAAAACCATAAAGCATTTGATTGATTGATTGATTTTTCTTTACAGTTTATAGTTTATAATTCATTTATACCATAATGTATAAATTAAATTTACAATTCAACTTTTTTTTTGCATTACAGTCAAATGAATAAGATGATTTCTTAATCGTAATAAAGATTAATGTAACAGTGCAAAAAAAGCGTAATAGACTACACAGTTAATTTTTCCTGACATGTTTTGTGAGATAAAAAAATCTAAGAAAACATATATTCATATAAATATATATTCTTAATCAATGAAAATGAACAAATCACAAATCAAATGGCTGCAATATAACAAAGAGTGAAAAATTTAAGGGGGTCTGAATACTTTCCGTACCCACTGTATATATGGGAGATTCACCCTTATATGCAAGTTATCAGGACTAAAGTGTTTGCAGCCGAGAAAGTTTGAAAGACCATATTTGTCTCCGTCCAAAATTTTTTAAATGTTTTGAGTGGAAAGTAAACAGCAAATCTAATGTTGGGTCAGCTGCACCAGATGTTTCTCTCCGAAGGAAATGGCTGAATGCGGCTCAGTCACTAGACTCTCAAACGCCTTCTGACAGTGTCTGCACAAACAGTGGGAGCCATGGCAACAGGGGAGAGAAACAGAGCGAGGAGAGTGGGCGGGAGGGAAGAGAGAGAAACAAAAGACAGTTGAGGAAAGAAAGAGCAAAAAGATTGAGAGAGGGACTGAAAGAGAGTGGCTGGGACATTCTGTTACATGTGCCTGCAGTGTATTGCTCCCCTTTACAGGCCCAGCACTCACCCTGCAGGACCTCCTTCACCAACCAATCAGAGAGCGAACCCCTGGCCCCAGCCTCCTTCTCAGCCAATCAAATCTCAGCGCATTCAGTGAATGCCCATCTCATTAAATAATGCTTAGCCAGAGACTCAACAACATCCCCAGCAATTTTCCCAGATACAGACTAGACTTTCTGTTTACATTTAATATATAATATTAATACTTATTAGATATAATATACTTCTAGAGACAATAAAAATGTACAATAAAATAAAACCACTTAGAACACCTTAGCATGTCTATCTATCTATCTATCTATCTATCTATCTATCTATCTATCTATCTATCTATCTATCTATCCATCGCTACAGTTTTATGACTATACAGCATATGGAACCAAATGCACATAAACACCCTGTAATGTGCACGTCAATGACAATGTTAAGGTCAAGGCAGGAAAAATAACTGATATTTGACTATAATTGGACCTTATAGTCAAATCGGATGCATTTGAGCTGTTTCACAAGGTCACAAATGAATCATATCAATGTAGTGCATTAAGAGTGACCGTCCTGCTCATGTCACTTCGTAAAAAGCAGTGTAGATTAGAGTCCTCGTGCCGTGAGTGCCACGTGACGGCCCCCAGACAGCACACCCTTCCCCCAACCAGAGGCATTTGGAGTGTTCTCGCACATGACTTCACATGTAAATGTATGAAAGAGTGTGTGAGTGTGTGTTTTTTAATAAACCCGTATTGCTTGTTTTGTTTCTAAGAGACATACACCAAACCATTCCTACCACCGGTATACAGTTTCAAGAGTATGCTTAGAAAGACTCTATTTCCAGAAGAACCACGCATTGAGTGCTTCGTAACCACAGCGGAGGGACTTTTGAGTATGTGTGAATTGTTACATTATGACCATAAAGGAAATTTCTGTCTCTAGATCGTGTGGGTGTGTGGTTTATATTTTTTTAAGGTCCACATGCTCTGAACGTGCATGTGGTGTGCAAGCTGGTCGCTGAGGCTTTATGATAGATCAGATGGCCTATTTACATTAAAGCAGCTTACATTACTGGCTGTTGATGGGAGAAACGTCCATATTTCCTCCAGTGTTCAGATTCAAGGTTCTGTCCTATATTAGGGAGTGCAACATCATCACACGGCCTGTAAAACATGTCAGAATGAGAGTGTTAATCCATTATGAGCTTTCACAATGATATAAAGTCTTATTTACATATTTCTAGATCTGGCTTCTCTACTGGAATAGAATGAATCATAAGAACTAAATGTGTGTGTGCATGAAGGCGTGCAGAAGTGACACTGTTAATACTCGTGTGCTTTAGGAGGCTGCTTGGCATGTGAAGGGATTAAAGTCAATGTTCAATAAGTAAGAAAACTCAATGGGACTGCTAGTACGTTAAGAGCAATCAGCATTAATACACAATGGGATAATCAATCCCTCTTTGTTAGTGAAACCAGGCTAACAAGTTCTTTTTATCTCTCTCTTTCAGGGAGTATCTTCACCTGCATTTGTGTTCGGCTCACGTTTGCTTGCCAGTTTTAAGGAGGACCCCGGCCATGCTGACTTGATGTGGCAAAGGTTCATTTACAAATATACATTATTCAATAATATATAGAAGAAAATCTGATCCTGGCCATATTTCTTCCCCCCAAAAAAAAAAAAATAGATATGATATGATAATATACAAAGAACAAATAAATTTTTTTGTATTGTGACATTATTATTTAATAATTACTGTAAAATAATGAATTACTTCAATTCAATGGATGTTTTACTTTTTGAGTTTTATTGTTCTCAGTAATAATCATTCTCATTATCTCATAATTATCAAAATAAAAATACAATTCATTAAAATAATAAATGTAAATGAATTAAAAATTAAAAGGTTTATTGTTCTCAGTGATCATAATTATCAAATAAAACGATTAAAAAAAAATGAATTAAAAGGGTTACACTGAGATTTAAAAGAATAAATGAATGTGAATTAATGAATAAATAAATAATTGTTATTATGATATAAATATTGTATAATTTGGGGTAATATGCTTAATTGTAATGAAAATAATGTCACAATGTAAATAATCTTACTTGTGCTAAAATAGGCATTGCTGTCTGTAAAATATAATTTTGTATTTCTTTCAGTTGATTTTGAGGGTAAAAATTATCTGGACATGTTCTTAAAAGCAGTGCTATTTTAGCATCGAGATATTATTATAGTTTTTGTTTATATTTTGAATTAGAATTTATTTGTATATTTTGTTTTGAATTAGATTTTTTAAATAGATTTTTAAAAATAAAATAAGGTTCCGTTTTTATATTTTCTTTTCTTTTTCTTTGTGTGTGTATGTGTGTGTCTTTTGACTTCAAACACACATTATGGACTTATAGCACAATGTTAAACACTCAGATCTCAGGGTACTGATAATAATCATATTCACAATTAACATAAAAAAATAAAATAAATATATACACACACACACACACACACACACACACACATTACTGTAGTAATTCTACAGCTAGAAGTAGTTTAGTACGAAACGGCAAGTAATTTCCTTTATTGTATTCCTCCCCAGCTGGTACCAGTACATGCCTGACAAGTTGGAAGATAATGGCTTGGCACAACACCCTGGGTATGTGCCTGGAAAGGAAATGGGGTCTACAGGAACAGAGATGCTAGGTGATACTCAGAATGTAAAGAATCAGGAAGAACACAACACCGACCCAAAGACGCCCACCTTTACAGGTCAGTTTGCTTTCACCATAAGTCACATTGCACAAACAAATGTACATGTTTCTTAACGAGAGATCTATCTGATATAGGGCAAGAAAAACATGGCCAGTCAGACGATGCCAGTCCAGATGAATGGCAGAAAGTAGATACAGCAGCTTATAAGCGGACGGTTGGTGTGACTGTGGAGCACAGTAAGGACGGCATGGTGATGGAGCTCCTTCAGATGTACAGTGCTCAACACAACAAACTTCAGTCAACACTACGCAGACAGAAACAGCTTGAAAAGGTTTTTACTTCGACTAGATTACAATACAGCACGCATAATGTGTTTTTTAGCACCTCCTTTTCATTTGCCAGAAGGTGCGTGTGAGTAACTGATGACTCTTTCTCACTCTGATACTTGTGAACAGGAGCTGCAGGCTCTGCATCAAGGTGAAGCCATAGACCGGTGTGACCTACACGGGGAGCTGGAGGCGGTTCAGACTGAACATGCTCAGAGGCTCGGTGAAGTCCAGCAGGAACAGAGAAAGTTAAAGTCCCGACTCGACCAGCTGAGGCAGCAAGGCTGCAGATGCAAAGAACTGGGTACTGAGCCGCACCAGGAAACTATCTATGCCAAACAGGTATCGACCAATCATACACATCCACTCAAGACTATGTCAGGTTCATAATTTGCCATACTTTTTTTTTAAATAAATGTTTTAGGATAAAATTTAATTTTAAAGTTTAATTTAAATTGTAAAGAAGTTTCTTATCCTCATAAGGCTGGATTTATTTGATTAAAAATACTGTAAAAACAGTAATATTGTGATTCTATTGTTACAATTTAAAATAGCTGTTTTCTATTTTAATATATTTTAAAATGTAATTTATTCCTGTGATGGCAAAGCTGAATTTTCAGCATCATTGCTCCAGTCTTCAGTGCCACGTGATCCTTCAGAAATCACTCTAATATGCTGATTTGCTGCTCAAGAAACATTTCTTATAATTATCAATGTTGAAAACAATCGTGCTTCTTAATATTTTTGTGGAAGCCATGATATATTTTTTTCAGGATTCTCTAATAAATAGAAAGTTCAAAGGAACAGCATTTAAAAAAAAAATAGAAATCTTTGGTAGCATTATAAATGTCTTTACTGACACAATTTAATGTATACTTGCAGAATAAGTAAGTAATTTCAATATGTAATTTTTTAAAAAGAAAAAAGAAAATCTTACTGACTCCAAATGAATGGTGGAAAATATATGACATACTAATTAAAAAATATATATATATAAAAAAAATATATAGATATATATATTTTTTTTATAAATAATAACAACAGTACTATTTTAAATATTATTATTATTATTATTCCTTAAAATAAATGAAAGTTCAAAGGAATAGCATTTTTTAAAAAAATAAATAAAAATCATTGGTAACATTATAAATGTCTTTGCTGACACTTTTGATCTATTTAATGCATACTTGCTGAACAAAAGTATTCATTTCTTTAAAAAATAAATAAATAAATTACTGACCCCAAACTTTCGAACTATACAAATATATATATATATTGTTTGTTTTTTTATGTATATTTATATATTTAATTATTAAAAGAATAATAGAGTCACTTTAACTGACCAAAGGCATCCTGTGCTTAGTTATCAGAACTGCGTCAGAGGCTGGACCGCGCTGAGGAAGACCGTGAAGAGCTGCAGGAAGAGCTATGCAGAGAGCGAGAAGCCAGAGAGAGGCTGGAGCATACCATCTCTGAGCTCAAACATCAGATGAGGGAAACCGGCCTCCCTGCTTCAGTGGACAGTCCCATGTCTTCAGTCTCTAGTGACACACACATGCACCCAACGGCTTAGTGTGGTCTATGGTCACCAACCCGCAACCTGATTTCTGTGATCAAAATTCATTTTGGAATGGTGTCTCCATTTTAAAATTGGATGCCAAAGTTGTTTTAATTGCAGTTCTACAGAACAATTATACAATTTGGGTCGTCCTGAGTTGGTTTGGGTTTAATGCTGTGAATTTGTCACTATTGAGATGAACTGATTTTTTTGGACATGTGAATAAGTATTTTTGGTGTTTTGATACAAATCAAGTAGTTAGAGATATTATGCAAATCACTAATCCTGCACGCGTACAATCAACACCATCCATTTTGATTTATCAGTCCTAGGACTACTGATATCAAATTATTATTTTTTTGTAAATATTGGAATTGTTTAAAAATATATCACAACTGATATTGTTTGAAAAATATTTATTGTTTATGAATAAATGTTATGTGAATATTCTTATGTCAAATTATACATATTTAACTTTATTTTTTGCCATATTTTTGTTTATATTTTATGCAGGTTATGCTCATTATGAATGTACAAAATATATGCATGTGTACTTTCATAAAATATGGATAAATATACTATGTTTACACTGTGGTATGAAGTTCAGATATAGCGGAAAATGTTTTCTATGCCATTTACAGTGAATGTTTGCCTCTTTTAATGACCTCCAATTTTATTTTGAGGGTATATTTGAATATTTGAGGACCTTTAACACCAAACTTTTAAAATTTGAAAAGTGATGATAAATGTTAAAACACTCATTGCCTCAACCTTTATTGTTTAAGTATATGACATGGTCCTTGTACTTTACATTCCGTAAATTGTCTAGACAAACAGGTCTGTATGTACTTTGCTCAGAGAAAGATATTCTTATATATCTTGTTATTATATATCTTGTTATTCTTATATGTGTGAGAAAGTAAATTATGTATTGATATTGTTTGCTGTGACTGACAATCAGCGTGTTTATCTGTAATTGCTTTTATATCCAAAATTGAAGTTAAGATTAATTAAATAGTTGCTACCTCAAACGAACACATACGGATATATACATAGAACAACTTAAAATATAGATTGTGTATTTATGTATAGAAGTGAATGGATGGAGTAGTCAGGTGTATGACTGATAAATACCTCTGTGCTGCTGCTATGACATTTTTTTATATGATTTTCTTCCTTTTTTTCAGTTTCCAGATCATTTAAAGATGCATGTGAGATTGAAGAAATATATATATATATACATATAATACAGATATACTGAGTATTGTTTCCTAACCTTTAAGCCAAACATAATTTCACAAAAATGTTGTCAAGTACAAAATATTAATTATCTTTGCCAGTGCCATCTTTTGTGTGTATGGTATAACATGACACTTTTGTCCTACCTCCACTGTGATCGAGACACTTTGTTTCACCCACCAACTTTTGTATGTCATCTTTCTACATTCACTCATGGGAAATGATATATTAATGTGCTGTTGGGGAAAATAATAAAAATGATTATATAACTTGTATCTTTTAAAAGGCTTGTATAAAAGCGAATTTACTGGTCTAGTAATAAAAAAGCACCTTTGTAACCCCAGTTAATATCAAAATATCATAGTTACGATATTCAGTGCCAAATACTACAATAAAACTGGTTACTGTAGGCCTATTATCTATCACTGCCATTAAAAATAATTAAAATGAAAGAGGTACCCTGAAAGCTTCTTAAGACTGCTTGAAGGAGATTTCATATGTATTTTTCATGGTTTTAAAGCACTAACTGTAGTAACTATTTCAGCAGAAACTCGCGGTTTCCATGGTTAAAGTTACCATAGCAAACTTTTCTTAAGGTCTTCTGGCACATATCTTCACCATCTCCGGTGTCCACTCAGCTAATTCATGGGCTTGTGCAATTTTCATAAATGAATAACTAACATTTTAAATGAATGGTGCTTTACTGGCATAAAGTTGGCTTGACCTTGGACATTCGCAAATTTAGGGACTGTCTCTAAAGTTACATGCAATATTGGTATACACTTTTCTAACGTCAATAGCATTTAGGAGAATGACTTACAGTAATAAAAAAACTGTAAAGTGTTAATTTAGGTGTCAACTACAATGCATGCCTTATACATTTTTAATATTTATTAAAATAAACTCTAAATCATATGTAAAATATGCTATTTTCATTACCGAATAAGCTCAAATGCAAAATATGCCATAATTTAAAGCTCAATAGTATTTGAGCAGAATGACTTACAGTTATAAAACAAACTATAAAGTGCTCATCTAGGTGTTAACTATAATGCACACCTTTTACATTTTTGATATTTGTTAAAATAAACTGTAAATCATATGTAAAAAATTATATTCTTTCACAACCAAATGGGGTCAAACACAAATTTAAGGCTCAATAGCATTTAAGGAGAATGACTTACAGTCATAAAAACAACTGTAAACTGTTCATCCAGGTGTCAACTATAATGCACACCTTTTACACTTTTGATATTTGTTAAAATAAACTGTAATTCATATGTAAAATATACTACTTTTTCACAACCGAATGGGCTCAAACGCAAATTTAAGGCTCAATAGCATTTAAGGAGAATGACTTACAGTTATAAAACAAACTATAAAGTGCTCATCTAGGTGTTAACTATAATGCACACCTTTTACATTTTTGATATTTGTTAAAATAAACTGTAAATCATATGTAAAAAATTATATTCTTTCACAACCAAATGGGGTCAAACACAAATTTAAGGCTCAATAGCATTTAAGGAGAATGACTTACAGTCATAAAACAAACTGTAAACTGTTCATCCAGGTGTCAACTATAATGCACACCTTTGAAATGTTTTATATTTATTAAAATAAACCCTAAATCATATGTAAAATATGCTATTTTCACTACCGAATAAGCTCAAATGCAAAATATGCCATAATTTAAAGCTCACTAGCATTTGAGCAAAATGACTTACAGTCATAAAAACAACTGTAAACTGTTCATCTAGGTGTCAGCTATAATGAAAACCTTATACATTTTTTATATTTATTCAAATAAACTGTAAATCATATGTAAAATATGCTACTTTTTCCCAACAAATGGGCTCAAATGCAAAATATACCCTAATTTAAAGCTTAAAGGGGTCATATGATGCAATTTCAAGTTTTCTTTTCTCTTTGGTATGTTACAAGCTGTTCGTGAATAGAAAAGATCTGTAAAGTTGCAAAGACTAAAGTCTCAAACCCAAAGAGATATTCTTTATAAAAGTTAAGACTCGTCCACGCCCTCCTAAAATGCCTCGTTCTAACATGCCTCCACATATCTACATCACGATGTGGGAAGATTTTCATAACACCGCCCAAATGTTCACGCAAAGAAAGAAGGCGTAACTTTGATTCTCGCTGTAGTATTGTTGCCGCCGCTGCCGCCATGTTGTGGAGACACTGTTTTTCGTTGCGAAAGCGAAACATTATGTCCCCACTGGATGCAACAGATGCCTCGTTTATAATGGGTTTTATTGGTTTGTCTCATCACGCCGGGACACGGCATCACAGTATGGTAAGGGGCGTAACATTTCCATCACACGCTTGAGGTATTCGGCCAATCATAACGCACTGGATAGCTGGCCAATCAGAGCATACCTCGCTTTTCAGACCGATGAGCTTTGTAAAAATCGACGCTTTTCAGAAAGTCGGGGCATAGAGGAGAAACAATAATGTACAGTATGTGGAAAATAATAGATGAACAGTTTACAGTTTGTTTTATGACTGTAAGTCATTCTCCTCAAATGCTATTGAGCCTTAAATTTGCGTTTGAGCCCATTTGGTTGTGAAAAAGTAGCATATTTTACATATGATTTACAGTTTATTTAAACAAATATCAAAAATGTAAAAGGTGGGCATTATAGTTGACACCTGGATGAACAGTTTACAGTTGTTCTTATGAATGTAAGTCATTCTCCTCAAATGCTATTGAGCCTTAAATTTGCGTTTGAGCCCATTCTGTACTTGAAATTTTTTATTTTTATTTTTACAAATGATTTACAGTTTATTTTAATAAATATAAAAAATGTATAAGGTGTGCATTGTAGTTGACACCTAAATGAAAAGTTTACTGTTTTTTTTTATTACTGTAAGTCATTCTCCTCAAATGATATTGACGTAAAAAAAAAGTGTATACCAATATCGCATGTAACTTTAGAGACGATCCCTGAATATCGAACGTCCAACGTCAAGCCAACTTTATGCCAGTTGGGGCTTTTAAAGTGACCGGATTCATGTGACAGCTCCTGTTTACAGTGTTTTTATAAAGCCAAAGTTCAGCCTAACTTCCGGGATCCGGTATGAATGAGATGAATGTGACAGGTGTAAATGCGGACTGAAAATGCTTACAGTCATCGCGCACTGATGAATGCATAATATATAAATGATTCAAGAAATATTTCAAGGTAAGAACAACTCGAGTCATTCTGACTGAATGATTTTAAAACAGGTCCTGTTGTACCGATGAGCAGGATATGACAAAGTAAACAAATCGATTGTCATTCATATTGTTTTAAATATTGGTGTATTCATTTTTCAGATTGAAAAAAGGACATAATAACCATACATAATTTACCTGCTTGTAAGCCGAGATCTTCTTTTAAAAAGCAATGGATTCAACAGGTATGTTATCTGGAAGTGTGAATCCCACGAAATCTGTCAAAGCACGTCCGGGTCGTACTGACCCCCAAGATATTACAAATTAGAAGAAATTATACATATAAATATAGTTTATATAAAACGAAGCCCCTTTTAAAACCTTTCAAACTTTTTTTCCCTTCCCTCGCTTAATTTTACCTGAAAGTTAAGCAGAATTAACCCCACCTCATTATTGTTAAATGCAAAAATATATCGATGTTTATATATAAAATGATGTACAAATATAAAATAATATTTATATATATATATATTATATGTTTAGTATTTGTTGTAGAAACAAACTTAAAAGTGAAACATTAGCAAAGATAATTGTCCTGAAAATATATCATGTATATAATTTGTATGCAAAATATAGTATCTTTTTTATTGTTAATTTGGTGGTGAGATTAACACAAATCATTTTTCTCAAAAGTCAACATTTATGCAATTATGTAACACTAAATGATTTATTAATCTAATAATAAATTTGGAGTCAGTTATAAATATATTTTGTCATCACAATGCAGTATCTACCAAAGGGAAGGAGAGTGTTCAGAAAAGATCTCCTCTGGATCTGATTATGAACCAGCTCCGAAGGAAAGCCTCTTTCACGGAAAGAAAGAAACCGGCTGTGG